TTCTCTGCGTTCTAGTCTCTCGTCACCTGGGCCGGCTGGTCCGCACCGCGCCCAGCGATGGCAGGGCAGGGCTCCGAGGTTCCCACCCAGGCAGTCCTTCCACTAAAGGGCATGGGGAGGCTCTGCCCGGAGCAGCGGGCATGGGGAGGCTCCGCCGGGAGCAGCGGGCATGGGGAGGCTCTGCCCGGAGCAGCGGGCATGGGGAGGCTCCGCCGGGAGCAGCGGGCATGGGGAGGCTCTGCCCGGAGCAGCGGGCATGGGGAGGCTCTGCCGGGAGCAGCGGGCATGGGGAGGCTCCGCCCGGAGCAGCGGGCTCTCACCCAGGGTGAAGGGGGCGGACAGTGGGATGCAAGCAGGGGAACGACAAAGCTGAGAAAGCGCAGGTCTCTGTGGTCCCGGAACCGCCCCACCCGCTCCCGCAGACACTGCAGGGCCGAGCGCTTCCCAGCCCCAATCCTCCGAGCATTTGACTCCTTTACTTAAATGTTAGGATTGGTAGCTTTCCAATCTTTGTAGCTGGAGAGCACTGAGAAGGTATGTCGGAAATAATGACGGATCCGCAGTCTCTTTCTTTCAGTTCCTCTTCACTGATTGGCCAAGTGTCGGTTGCCTAGGAAACTGCGTGCATCCCCGCGGCAGGGCGCGCTGCCCGGCTGTGACCCGGGTATTAAGTGGCGAAAGCTGGCGGGAGTGGGAACCCCGAAAGCTGGCTGTCTTGTCATTTCAGTAAGTGTGTAAAAAAGGGTATATCTTGCTTTAAGAAAACAATGCTTTAAAATTTTATTACCAGATCAGCCATGCATTGCCTCCTTTCTGTCAAACTTCAAGTAATTAAAACAACGACTTTGTGTGTAATGGAGAAATGCAAAAATCACTTGAGAATCTGCCGTCGAATGCACTCTGAAAGTTGTGAGAGCAAATATAATTTTAATAGCTTAGGGGGTATCTTAGTTCAGTTATGCGTAAAACAAATGCTGGAGTTTATTTTACACTAAGTTATTTCTACAATTGTCTCAGGAAGGGAAAATTTAGCAATGTTGGCACATCATTAAAACTAACGGCAGGTAAGCGATGATGGACTTCCAGCCCTGACACCTTCACGTCTGGGATGCAGCGACCTCGGTGGAGAGAAATTGTGTGTAAGAAACAGACAAAAAGAAACGCAGGAGGGCCCAGCTGAGAACTAAGCTTTTTTTGCTTTGAAAGCCCCTTCTCGGGAACTCCATGGACCAGGGAAGGGTGAGCAGATCATCGGAAAGGCCTCAAGACTGGCCGTCACCGGCAGGTGACCTTCCCACACACCGTCAGTGCCTGTGGGGAACAAAAGCGCGGCACCCCAACTCCCAGTCGGGGAGGGGCAGGCCGGCTAGGGCGAAGGCGGGTCTTGAGGTGGGTGTGGGGGGTCCGAGGGCTGGGTGGAGGGGCGCAAAGGCCGGGGCAGATGGGGGACGTCTGTAATAGTGTCACCCATGTTTTT